GACATTCCGCCCAGGGCTTTGATGTTTGTTAGACGATATGGGCAACAACTCGAAGAATCTGCCTTCGACGGTTGAAATTCCTTTCTGTAGCACCGATCCTAATCGTAGATGGTTGCACGTGACATTTCAGTGCAGAAAACCTGTATATTTATAGAAACCATGTCTGTTACTTCCGTGCTGGGAACTTAAAACGTGACATGGATTACAATGTATATTACATGGACACAGGAAGGTGAGGTGGGTTGTCAGTGGACTTCGGTGCTTAAGTGAGTACTTGCTCGCGGGAGGGGATAGCGAAGCAACGCTTGTCAGCAAAGAATGCGTTTGAGAGTCTATTTTTAATGAATGAGAAACCAACTACGTATTTTACTAACCGTAATGACGTACTTAAAGGCAAGAAGAATGTATTAATTTGAAGAAGTCCTCCATAAGGGCATATACTTTTCAGCAACGAATTCAAACCAAGTCGGATAAAAATGCAAAGACCTATGGATATTCTGTAAAACCAACCTCACATCAAGGACTCCTCACCTTTTATAATTCATAGTTGTTAATGCTTGAATCAGAGTAAGGCACATCACCCTGAATTTTCCCACTGATATTTAGGTTTAAATGGCAGAAAAATGATTTAAATAGTTCGATTTACTGGCGGTGCTTATGTAGTCGTCCGAGTTGCGGGTTGTTACCCGTCGAACTTCGATGCTTAGCGCCATTATTTATCGCTGCGTCCAATTTTCTAAGTTTCTGGGTCTCTTCCTTTATGCAGCTGGTATCATCGGTTTTCTGGCCCTTTCTCAATCGGAGTTCAACTATGAAACCTACGTCAGTGAAAATGCATTGTTAATCGGTAATGTGAAGTTGATTCCTATTTATTTTACAGGTCTTGTTGATGAAACGTATAACCCGGAACCGAACATTTCGAACGTCATGAAAGAATTCATTGACGCCGCTCCAGATAAGACCAAAACTGCCTTCATTATTCGCCAGGAGATGGAGAAGTTTGGCCTTGAGGTTTATGAGCAGAAGTTCACTTTTTCACATAAGTTGCTAGAAAATGTCGGGGTAACTCAGTTCCGCGTCTTCCTTCATATATTTGTAGAATGTTTCTAGCACGAACCTTTACGCAATCATGCGTTCCCGCACTGATAGTCGCACAGAAGCGCTAATTATCATAGCACCACTTCGAGCCTCTGGTGAATCAGAGGAGATCATTCCAGGGACTTACACTTACCTGGTTTCTCTTGCAAAACAGCTTAGCAGTAGTTTATTCTTGCGACTTACTATTTCATAGCTCAACTCTACTGGGCAAAGGATATAATATTCCTTTTCCCCGATATGGAATACATTGGACTGGTGGCTTGGTTAGATGCTTATTATGGTGTTAGCACGTCTCCCAGTTGGTGACATATTTAGAATTACTATTATTTGGTTTAGTCGTTCATGGCACCAAACTTAGGGGTCGTTCGGGTAGCCTCCAAGCAGGGATTGTTCTGGAATTCCCCTCATTGAGCATGGATCGTTTGGATGTCTCCTTCCAAGGTCTTAATGGTGAATTGCCGAATCTAGACCTTATCAATACTGTCGCCCGTTTGGCAAAAAAACATAGCATTCCTCTCTCTCTTCACGGCCAAGTATGTTCTTTTGCAACAGTGTTCTTTAAAATCCTTTTAGCTTCAGGGCTTTACTTATGCGAGTCCACTACCAGCACTAAAACAATTAATCAGCTCCATCTGGCTACAGAGCTCTGGCTCTCCCTCGGGGTTACATGGTCCCCTCATAAATTTCCAGGTGCCCTGTCTCACACTGCGTGGTATCCGAAGTCGCGCCTCGGCTCAGTTGAACGCGAATCATATTCGTCAAATTGGCAGGTATTAAACTTTTCGATGTTCTTGTTTCTCCTTGTAGTCTGGTTGAGGCGTTTCTACGCTGCTTAAACAATCTGCAGGAACGAATGCATCAATCGTTTTATTACTATCTTCTGCCAGACCTCTGGCATTACATATCCATTGGGGTTTACTCTCCCTTCTTCTTTATGGCTCTTGCAGGGATGCTTTTGCAGGTAAGGTTATGAAGGTGTTTAAACTGGTACCTCCAATTTGTGCTCTGACTTCCACGCATTACTTGACCTGAAGCTCAAGCAACTTTTGAAATGTCCTTTCTCAAGGTTATCCGAATCTACATCGAGTTTACCTCCAAACAGAAGCAGTCACCAAAGAATTATGCGGTCAAATCCGTGTTAAAGGAATGTGATTCAACTCCTACCACTGACACTATGGATCCTGACACAGAGATTCGGCAACGTCGTGCCGTCACCATAACGTCGAAGATCATCAAAGACGTCACAGACAAATATCCTTTAGAGGAGGAGGACAAGGAGGTAAGAGAAGGAAAGGAATTCAACATTGCCGTTCTTCTACCTACTACGTCCTCACTGGGGCTGTGCTTTGTCGGTGGTGCAGTGACTCATATCTTTCCTGACCTCCTCTACGCTCGCCTCCTCGACTTCTCAACAGACAATCCTAATGGAGTGTGGCAACTCACCGAAGACTACTTCGCTGTCTTATTTCTTGTCGCAGTTGCTGGCCTCGCTTTTCTGCTTCCTTTATTAGCTGTAGTTAGTGGGAGGTGGGTATGGTCAATTTACTTTTCTGATGAAGCGCATAAATAAAGTCAAAATCCGATTATTTCGTAAAACGAATTGTGACGACAGAATAGGGCGGTATCCCTTCTGTTCTTTGTCATTAGCTTTATTTGGGTTCTGTTCTAGCATGTGTCCTTTTTAATTTGGTCTTTACTTCTCTATGTCTGCAGGAGAGTTCCCATGTTGAGGCGATTCAGCTGCCAGCACAACAAGCATTTATAGTCCCCCAAATTAGCTGCTTTTTATGGTCAGAGTTTGTTCATATTTTTAAATGATCCATGAACATATGCAAATATATTTGGCAAGCAGTAGCTTCCAACCATTTTAATTTAGTCTGGCGAATCTTTTCATCACATTAGTCAGTGGTTTGGCTATGGG